TACAGTACATATATAAATTTATTTATTTTATTTATTTATCGGCAAACTTTAAACTTCCTTGGGTATGAAGGGGTCAACCCCACCAGTTTTAGCCATTAATTCTCTTGGCATGGTCTTTACAATTTCGGGATTTATAGTAGGAAAAGGTGGTGGAATACAATCCGACGGAAAACATTTTTTTCCATGTTTCTTTATGGCATCTCTTATTCTTACGAATTGATTATCAAAGCCAGGAACAGAACCTTTGATATAAATAAGATTCAAATAATTATCAATCTTTAGAACTTTCAAATTTAAAACTGTCGCACTTTGACCTCCAAGTCTACCAGCCATCTTTTTGCCTTTAAAAACTCTTCCTGGATCCTATAATAATAATAATTTAATATAAGATAGGGGAAGGTGATAAAAAAAAGGGTAATCTTTATATTAAACAAACCTGATTTTGACCAGTTGAACCAGCAGAACGATGAGCCAACGAAGTACCATGTGAAGCTGGCAATCCTTTAAAATTCCATCTTTTCATTACACCCGCAAAACCTTTACCAATACTGTAAAAAAAAAATAAAAGATTTTTTTTTCTTTTTTTTGATTATCATGAAAAAAATAAAGTGTGTAATATCTTACGATGGAGCTGTTACATCCACGTATTGTCCTGGTACAAAATGAGCTGCCTTTATCTCTGTTCCAACGGGTACGACAGCATCGGGAGTGATATGAAATTCTAACAACTTCGCTTTTGGGTTAACTCCCGCATTCTCAAAATGACCTAATAATGGTTTTTTAAATCGGTTCTTTCCTTCAGAACAACCAACTTGGACTGCAACCAAAGGTGGTCTAATCCTTTTTTGATTTTCTTTAATTTGTACCACTTGAACTTGTTCCAACTTTTATTTTTTTTTAAGTAAATTTTACACATTAATGTGAATCCATGAATAATGAAAATGCAATAAGTAATTATATATATATTTTGATACCTGTAAGATTGTCACCGGATGTCTTACACCCCACTCATCCCATAATGCGGACATTCCTTTTTTTCTAGCAATTGCACCTATTCGTATAGAATTATTTGTCCATTTTGGTTCTTTTGTTAATGTTTCAGTAGATTCAAGAGAAGGGTTGGTATCTCTAATCGATGAAAAACTTCTATTAAAAGCTGATTTATTCAATTTAATTAAATTAAGAATAAAAGTATTTGGTTTAAGTTTTGAAGAAAGCATGGTAAATTAAAATAAGGACGCCTCTCCTTTTAAGAAAAAAATTGAATCATTTTTAAAAAATCGATATCAACCAATCAGAACATTTTTAGGAAAATCCTCCTATAAATATCTAAAAACAATCAATTATATAGTCTTTCTATCAATGGCTTTTCGTACACCTTCTACAACAGATACTTCGAGTCAGGATAATGCTATACGCGGAACTAACGACGACGCGGTGACAAGTAAACTGTAAGTAATTGTTTAAAAGGTTGCGGTGAATTCTATTGTATCTTTTTTTCCCATTGAAACGTTTTCTCAAGTCTTTTTAAGGTTTATACATAAATTTATATTTTATACTCTCGAAAAATTAAAAATTAAAAATTGAAATTTTTTTCTTTGATGAAAAAGGTCGGCAGTTAATACGGGATATATTAATGATATATTCGTAAAATATTTTGTTAAAAGACCATCGAAGAGACCTCCAATCATCAATAGAGGTTCATATGTTCGTAATACGGGTTTAGATATATTGATCACGAAATTTTTGGAAGTTGGTGGTGAAAAGTTAAAGAAACAAATCGTATCACTTGGAGCAGGATCTGATACGCGATATTTTCATTTTAAGGTATCATTGATTAAAAAAATCATTAAAAAATTTAAAGATATATATATATATATTTTTTAAAAATAAAATTCTTTTTATTAGAATACATTACGTAAATTTCATAAATATTTTGAAATCGATTTTCCTGAAATTACATCAAAAAAAGTTGCAATAATTCTTAGAAATAAGGATCTATCACATTTAATTGGGACCAAAATGCAAATTGGTATGTGAATCAATAATCAATTTTTTTTAAAAAAAACGGGTGTAAAATTTGGAATTTTGTATGATTATAGGAAAAGGAGGTACGGAAATTTACGCGCCAGATTATTGTTTAATATCAGGAGATCTTAGAGAATGGGAGGATAATTTAGTGCCGCGATTAGAAGAACACGGCTTTAATCGAAGGTTAGTAAGAAAGATATTCTTTAAAGTCACGTCTTCAATACATTGAACTAACTAAAAACTAAAACAAAAACAAAAAAAAAAATCATTTTATAAATGATGATAAAAAAAAAGTATTCCAACATTATTTTTATCAGAATGTGTATTAATTTATATGGATCCAATTGATTCTAATAAAATCGTACAATGGGTTGGAGATAATATGAAAGTAGCAATGTTTATAGTCTTTGAACAAATTTTACCAAATGATCCATTTGGGTCTGTCATGTTACAAAATTTAAGAGCTGTTAATATTGAACTTCGTGGTATATACGCTTATCCTGACTTACAAAGTCAAAAAGATCGTTATCTACGGCGTGGATGGACTCATGCCGAAGCTGTTGACATAAATGAAATTCATGATCTTCATATTGATTCAAATGAACTTTCCAGGTGATGAATAATAATTAATTGATAGATTGGAATATTTTTTTTCTCATCTTGATTTTAAAAAACAAGATTGATTTAAAACATTTTCTTTTTCTTTTAATAACTTGCAGAATATCAAAATTGGAATTTCTTGATGAACTCGAGGAATGGCGTCTTCTTGCTACTCATTATTGTATCGCTTGGGCTTATACTGTAAAAGATGCAAAAGATAAATCTTTATTTGATCATGTAAAATTTGTCAACTATGAACGGACAGAGAACTTATCATATTTAACCTATGTGTAATCATTCCAATAATAATAATTTCATAATAATAATAATAGTAATAGTAAAAATAGTAATAATAGTAATTAAAAATTTTTTAATGGATATCGCAACCTTTATTCTGATAATCGGATTATTCCTTCTTTAATGACATTTGACGATTTATTTTTTACCTCGATAAATCTATTATTATTGAAAGAAAGAAAGAAAAAAAAAAAAAAAAAAAAAAAAAAAAAAAAAACTAAACGTTAGCTTTATCAAAAGTAATTTTTTTTTTTTTAAAAAAAAAAATGTTTTTCACTCAGAGAGAAGATAGGATTCTTCATAATCAATTATTTTAGAATTCAGATTAATAAAATAGTTTACGATACATATTATACATTTGACATCATCGCGAAGAGAACAATAAAAAGCTAATAAAATATATAAATTACAAATACCTTCTTTTGTGTTTCTTTAGTGTTTGAAATTTTTTTTTTTTTCTTTTTTAGGGGCCCTTTTATTGGATCTGCATTAAACAGCGGTTCATGATTATCCCATGTCATTTACGTGACGTAAAGCGATTTTTGAGGGGTCGATCTTAAAATTGAGGTCGAATATGCATTCTTTCCTTTTGTGTGTATGTGACATAATTACAAATACCCAAAAAGTATAAACCATTGTGAACAAATTTAGGTAATCGTCTGCGTATCATATAATCTTATAAAAATACGCGCGGTTTAAAAAAATTTTTTTTTTTGTTTACATGTTTACACGTTCGCTACTTGTTTATCAAGGTGACGGAATTACCCAATTTCATTCATGAGCAGATGGATCGAAGACCGATAAAATGAGCACGTTCCCCTCTCTCAATGAACTCTTTCTCCAAAAAAAAAAATATCTTCCTCCAAAAAATTAACCAACCATACTCTTCACTATCACAACGTTTATCATATATAAAAAATTTTTATTAAACAATATGCCAAGTACAGAAGAAATGGCCACGATTTCTACTACTCCTATCACCCCCACCTCCCCCAACTCCCCATCCTCTCCCACTTGTCCTGCCACTCCCAACATCAGAAAACGAAAGTCTCCAGGTTCACCTGTTCTTTCGGATTTACATGTAAACCAACTTAGTCCTTCAGATTCACCGAGACCTTCAGTAAAACGTTGTAGAACTTTAAGTTCCTCAGCTTCACCTAATAAAAATTTACTCGTCAAACGTCTCACTTCTAAAGCAAAACTTCCATTTCGTGGCTCCGGGCAAGCTGCTGGTTATGATTTATTCAGGTATAATAAATAAAATTATTTCATTTTCGTTGTTAAAATAATTAAATCTATTTTTATTTATTTATATTATTTATTATAAATAAGTGCGGCCGATATAGTTATACCAGCTGAAGGAAAAGCTTTGGTTCCTACTGACATCTCAATTGGTATTCCAGAGGGAACTTATGGTCGCGTTGCCCCAAGAAGTGGACTTGGTATTAAATTCTTACAACTTTCTTCCTTTTTTTTAATCTTCATCGCGTATTAAATCCTTGCGTATTGATTTCGCTACGTTCTCCCTTCAAAAAGCTTTAAAAAACTTCCTTGATTGTGGTGCTGGCGTCATAGATTCTGATTATCGTGGCCCATTAGGAGTTCTTTTGTTTAATCATAGTAAACGTGATCATCAAGGTAATAAATAATATTTCGAGCCTTTATAATTTATTTATTTGAGGAAAAACTTGAAATCTTAATATAATTATTTACAGTTAAAGAAGGTGATCGAATCGCGCAACTTATTCTTGAAAGGATTCGTACTCCAAATGTCATTGAAGTCGATGAATTGGAAGGAACTGAACGTGGTCTTAATGGATTCGGCTCTACGGGACTTCGATAAATTTTTTTTAAATAATAATTCTAATTCTAGTTTATAATTGCTTTCTAATATTCTTTAATGCTTTCTAATGCTTTATAACATAATATATATATATTATTGCTTTTTTCTTTGTCATTTAATAAATAGTTGAAAATAATTAAATAATTGAGATTCACGATATGTGGTTATAAGTATATAAACATAAAATTTTATTACGAAGTTCTTTTTGTGTTTTCTTCCGAAAAATTAATTATTCAGAACAATCGCGAGCCAGATGACCGTGCTAAAAAAAAAAAAAAGTACCATTAGTTTTTTATTGATTATTTGTTAAATTTGATCGTAAGAGTTGAAATTTAAAATAATAAATAATTTATGAAATTCACCTTTCCACATCTAAAGCATCCAGCCGGTTTTTTATCTTTTGAACAAATTTCACTTCGTTGATAAGTATAACTTTTTGATTTACGATATTGATCAAAGATGTCTCCATCTTCCCCGCGACTATGACCAACCCCCAAATACTTTTGTTCACCAAACCTAAGTTCTCCTCCCTTTATGGGTTCCGCAATGCCTGTTGAGGTTGAACCTAATCCCGTACCAGCTCCTTCCCAACCTAGTTATTTAAAAATGATTTCATTTAGGGAAAGAAGGAAAAAGAAAACTTCAAAATATTACTTTTAAAAAATATATATAGATACCTAATTTCTTTAACATTTGAAACCCGACATTACGGTCAGATATCATTTTATCTGCTCTAGCAACTTCTTGATCTTTAACGTAACCTAACCCGCCGCCGCCGCCACCGCCGCCGCCACTTATATATAAAGGCGATCGTGATCGTGATCTACTATAAGATCTACTTCGATAACGTCTACGGGATGATGAACTATAATCACTTGATTTACGTCTGTCATGACTATTATAACTTCGATCATATGATCTTGATCTTGATCGACTTCTTGACCTCGAACTATATCTTGATGAAATTGATCTGGTTCTGACTCTAGTCAAAGATCTTGATACAGTTCTAGTCCTAGTTTTTGATCGAGTCCTTGATCTTGTCCTTGTTCTAGTTCTTGACCTGGACCTAGTAAGTGAGCGAGTTCTTGAACGAGACTCAGAAAGTGATCTAGAAACAGTTCTCGAACGAGTTCTTGATCGAGTTCTTGTCCTAGGAGAAATTGACCTAGCTACCCTCTTCCAGCTATGTCTTGACCGACTATGGCTTCTATACCTCGAACGGCTACGACTAAGACTCCTGCTATCCACTCTATGTCTATGCCTCCTGCGACCTCTTGAACGACTTGAACGACTGCGACTTCGACTTATAGAAGAATCACTATAGCTATGACGCCTCCTGTGCCTCCTCGAATGAGATCTTGATGATGATCTAGATCGTGATCTTGACATGGAATAGCTTCTGTCCCTTGACCATCTACTTCCACGATCATCCCGTCTATTTCTGAATGAAGATACATGTTGTTGTTGTTGGTGATGTCTATCGGACGATGCTCTCGCCAATGCTTCCTCTCGTTGCTCTTGCAGATCCATATAAAAATCGTCTAAAAATCCAATTTCCCAACCATCCTTATCTAGGTCAATTTGATATTTTTCTTTTAATGCACGTTCATCCTCCCCTTCTAGATTAGATTCTATTATAAACATTCCTTCATAGAATCTGTCAACAGCCTCTAACAATTCCGTGGTAGGGGGTAAACGGTGAGGTGGTAACCTAATTGAAGCCGCATGAATGGGTGTATAAGGAGAATCCTCAGGCTAAAAAAGCTGGCAAATAAGTAAAGAATTAAATGGGCATAAAACTTTGAATATTCTAGTAAACTATCTAATACTCATACCAAGACCGCTGGAACCATTAGTCCAGCTGGTAATTCATAATATTTTTTTTCCGAGACAGACGGTATCGGGGTCGTAGGAATTGAAGACCTGATTATTCCTTGCATCGGCATGCTTGGAGGAGATGGGCCTGGTGGAAACTGTTCTGGAATAACGGCCGGTACAGGTTCAGAAGCAGGTCGGATAAGACTTTGTGCGATTGGTGGAGATAAATGAGCAACTGGAGGAGAAATGGATTGAGCAGTTGGCTGCGGGGCAGGAAATATTCCAGTTGGGGGTGGGGGTGGGGGCGGGACACCTGAATTATAATAAGGTTGTTGACCCTGATAACGCAAGTGTCCAATTGAATGTTGACCAGGATTTGAATATGATAATGATGAAATACCACTAGATGGGGGTGGTGGAATTATAATACCGGTCCTTAAAGCATTGATTTTATTATCGTCAAAGTATTGTTTGTCGTCCCAAATAGATATAATCTAATTCAATATATAATTAATTATCATTACCAGAAAAAAAAATTTGTCGAATAATTAATAATGATCATAATAATTACTTTAACAACTTTCTCTTTCTGCTTCTCGTTTGCATCCATAAAATGAAAAGCAACTCGCAATAGCGCGAGTAAATGTGGATGTAATGCTTCCTTAATCCAAGGTTCCTGTCTACGTTCACTGTTTAATTGGCTTTATTAATATGTTTCAATTAAATAATTCATAATGTTGAATACTTTCTAGCACTTACCTATGAAAAAGTACATCGTTTATAAGGTATATTAAGTGAAGTCTATCCTCAAATATCGGTCGAGATTTAGAAAGCGCAATAATAAAACATATTAAGGTGTCAAAATGTGCTGGTGTTGTACAATGATCAAATATCCATGTTTTACCACGCTAAATCATTGTGTTAGAATATTGATAAATAAAAAAAAAAGTTGGTTGCTAATTCAAATATAAAAAAAAAAAAAATAATGGTACTTGTATATTGGACTGTGAACAATCATGCATCAACATTCCGAGTGATATTTGAAAATTATCTATCTCTGGTGGTCCAGCAGTGGCTCTTAATGCCATTGCAAGATTATCGAAAGCCAAAGATAAATCATCAATAGGTGGAGCCTGAGTTTGAGGTGGTCGATAGGGTGGTGGTGGTGGTGGTATATATTGATTTGGTGGTACTGGAAAAGATGAATAAGGTGGCTGTTGCTGGAAACTACCTACTCACAAAAACAGAATTCATTTTAAGGAAATTTTTTTTTTGATGTTGAAAATTAAGTGAGGCATGGAATTTTAATAATAAAAACTTTATAAAAAAGGTATCTATATTAAAAATTTTTTTGAGAAAGTATATTATTGATAATTAAAGGTTTTGTAGCTATCAGAAGGAATCCGTTTTTGGAGAAATTATTGGATATTTACAAGGTTTATAAACTAGAATTTCGCTCTTGAAGACTTGTAAAATATGCCCGAGTAATTTTTAGCGAAGACGACTACTCACCTGGCGTTATCCACTGTGACATTATTATCGAAATTGTGAAAAAATTATAGAGTGCAGTATTAGTTTTATCTAGTTTTAATAGTCACACAGAGGGTGTCGGTTTTTGGCAATTCGATTAAGTACTCGGAAAGTCTCGGATGTTGACTCCGTTTCCCGAAATTCAAAAAGCCATAAAAGCCTCCCTTTTATAATTTCAACCCCACAGAATTTAGTAACATTTTTACGGTTTAATTTGAATGAAATAAACAGAAGCTCTTTCTTTTCTAAATTTTACTTCCCAACTTCCTTGTCAACCACTAATTTCGACCGTCGTACATTTAGTAGTAAAGGTTCACGGCAATTAATTAGACTTTTAACACCTTCTTTCTAGATCTAGTTTTTCATTTACAGAATGTCGTCAAACTTTAACTACGATTACATTATAAAGGTTTGCGTTACGATTCCTTCAACACCATTAACATTTGGATCACTTTTCCGGTTTCTGTTATCGATCACTTACTTTGATATCTTTTTTGTTCTTTTAACTTTGAATGCTAAATTTTACCACGCAGTACATTATTATCGGGGACACAGGTATTTATATATTATATAGTTTCTGTTTTCTTTATTTTATGCTAATTGATTCATATGTAATTTTTGAAACTTTTGTAGGTGTCGGAAAGGTATTATTTAAATTTCTACCTTTCGTCATGATCTTTTTCTTTTTCACATCTTGGATACAACTCGTAATACTTTGAGATCTGATAACATTTTGATCTTGAATACATATATGTTTTTTACTTTCTATAGTCATGCTTACTTTTACAATTTACTGACAGACGGTTTCAGCCAGCTCATGATTTGACGATTGGGTAAGTGATCCATTGGTATTTGTTCGTGTACATCACATTTTCACGAAGAATGGAAGTTCTATATTTTAATTACATTCCATATTTATAGTGTGGAGTTTGGAGCACGGTTTGTGGATGTAAGATAATAGGTTACTTTAATTCACTGACAACGTATAATGTATATAATGACCAAATTAATAGTTATTCGTTTTAATAATTTATGATTTCTCTATAATTTATTAGGTTGAAGGGAAAAAAATTAAACTTCAGATTTGGGATACGGTACGTTAAATCTACTGTATATAGATATATTGAATGGTGGTATCTTATTTTCCTTTTTTTTTTTTTAAAAAAAAAAAAAAGGCTGGACAAGAATCTTTTAGGAGCATAACGAGGAGTTATTATCGTGGTGCTGCTGGGGCTTTGTTAGGTTAATATAGTTAATCGCAATTAATTTTTATTTTTTTAAAATATTACGTGAAACTTTTATTAATTTTATTACATTTAGTTTATGATATAACTAGGTAAATTTGATTACTTTTTAATTTCTTCAATAATTAATGAATTAATTAGATGAAATATATTTATTTTTCTAAACTTAGACGTGAAACTTTTGATCACCTTCTCATCTGGCTAGAAGATGCTCGTCAACACGCTAACTCCAATACTACAATAATGTTGATTGGCAACAAGAGTGATCTTGAATCTAAACGCGCTGTTTCCTATGCTGAAGGTGAAGCGTTTGCCCAACAACATGGATTATTTTTTATGGAGACCTCAGCGAAGACAGCGGATAACGTTGAAGAAGTAAAGTTTAAACAATTTGAATATATATATATATATTTTTCTTGCCTTAAACGTTAATAATTAATTACATTTTATTTATTGATGTTCAATAAAGTCATTTGTAGATACTGCCAAAGATATTTACGAAAAAATCAAACAAGGCGTTTTTGACGTTTCAAATGAGGTTGGTTTATTGTTTACTTTAAATTAATTGTATGGTTTAACTTGATAAAAACCTTTTTTTTTTTTTGCAAAGTCGAATGGTATCAAGGTTGGAGGGCATTTGCAACCGAAGACTTTACCACTTAATACAGATAACGGCAATAATTGCTGTTAATCACCCATTTTGAGTCGGCTGGCTCTTTCTTCCTCTGGTTATTTCGGATATTTTGGCTATTTATCTTCACATAATTTATATATTTTATCATTAACACACATTATAACGTATATAACTATATTGTAAATGCAATTCCTTTTTTCTTTTTTCTTACATACTAATTCTTTCATTTCTTTTAACATCCTTTTATATTGTTTTGTTTTTTTTTGTTTTTTTTTGTTTTTTTTTAGATCTTAAGATTCATCTTTAGCAAGATGTTTGAAGACAAATGTTACATTCTTTTGTAATTTTTGATATTTTTGTTTTATAATTGTGTAGGTTTTTTTTTTTTTAAGTGACTTTCAATCTTTTGTATTTTAACTATCAGGGAAAACTACCAGGGAAAAAAAGATATATACACACACCTTTATAAAATCTTATTTCTATTTATCAAAATTTACATTATATTAAATCAGATAAATTGTTCTCGTAAATAAGATAATTTTTTAAAACTACTTTAAAATATCACTTGATTAACTATTTAGTTTTACGGATAGAGCTCAAAATCATGCGAGCGAAATTTATGAGACGCCTTGATTTGATGTTTCAAAAGTATTATATTATTTAATGCTAAAGCTTTCCAATTTACTACTTCGTAAGAATCCCATATCTTTTAATGAACCCAGCTCTTTCAGGAAGACATCTTTATACGCAAAATCCCATCCTAATCAGAATTAGCCGGCATTATTGTCTAAAATATGTCGCTTTTTCAATCGCATGACACTTATTAATGTCTAAACAACATATTCATCGTGTTATTCCTATTATGCAAAGATCAAAAATAATATAATTACTTGGTTAATATTCTGTAACGATTTAAGATGTTATTTGTGTTCATTAACTTCTTTCTCCAGATCTCTATAAACAATATATATTTCGATGATTAAATTAGAAAGTCGTGTTTTTATTTGTGTTAAGTTGGTCGCATAAAAATTTATCATTCACGTGATCGATCCATAATTCCATAAAATGCTGGGTTTTTTTAAAAAAAAATTGAACACAAAATTAAAAATATTTGGATAAAAATGAGGCAATTGACGGAAGACGAAACCAAAGTATTTTTCGAAAAGTTGGCGAAGTAGTGAGTACTTTCTATTAAAAGCATTATTTTTTTTTTATCGGTTTAGTTTGTAATTCTTTAAAAATGAATAAAAATGCACATTTAAAAATATTTATATATCCTTTTTTTTCTAATTTTATCAAGTATTGGAAGGAATATAGTACATTTAATTGATCGATCGGATGAAACTTATTATTTTAGATTACATAATGATAAAGTTTATTATATGAGGTGGGTTATGAATTGGATACGGGGGGTTTTTTTTTTATTTGTTTGGAGGGAGTTTAGAGTAAATCATGGGAACAAACTATATGATTTAAAAATAAACAAGCTTTTATTTATTTATAGTGAATCGTTAATGAAACAAGCAATAAGTGTAGGACGTGATCAATTAATTTCTTTGGGAGTATGTTTTGGTAAATTTACGAAATCAAAGAAATTCAAATTACACATCACAGCGTTAGACTATCTTGCACAATATGCAAAGGTAAAGACGATAGAATCTGTTACATACCTTTTTTTGCTTTTCATTTCTCAATCTTACATTTTTTTTTTTTTTTTTTTTTTGGTTTAGTACAAAGTTTGGATAAAACCAAATGGAGAAAATACATTTCTATACGGAAATAATGTACTTAAAGCACATTTAGGACGTATAACGGATGATACACCTGAACATCAAGGTGTTGTGATCTATTCAATGTCTGATATTCCTTTGGTATGATTTAAGATTTAAAATCGTTGAAAAACCAAACGTGTGGTTTGAAATAAATGCTATTTTTTTTTTTTTTCTGACTGGAAATTAGGGATTTGGGGTTACGGCGAGATCAACAGTTGAAACTCGTAAATTACAACCTACGGATATTGTTGCTTTTCATCAAGCTGATATTGGAGAGTATTTACGTGAACAAGATACTTTATTTTAAGGTAAAGGAGGAAAAAAAAAAGTAGAATAAAAATATTTTTTTAAGTTAATTCTACAGAGATGTAATCTGATGTTATTAGGTTAATTAAAAATGTAAAAATACTGAACATGATTGTTCTCTTCCAAAAGTAAAAAAAAAAAATTAGACGTTATTATTTAATTACAATTTTAATCTTATATAATTTACTAGTTGACCCCCCATACTACTATAAAGATTTTTCTAATAATTTTATTTAATTGAACCCTTAACTTGTTCGATTCACTTTTGATGTAAAAAATATGGTATTAAAATTCTTTTTATTAAAAGAAAAAAATAAAATGTAATATTGCGTGATAAAATTTGAGAAGAAAAGGAAAAAAAAAATTATATTTTCCTATCTATACATAATTATATATATATATATACATGATTCAAAGACGGCAAGAATATCATAGATTGAAGTTTTATTATTATTCCCTTTTGTTATACTATTTTCTTTTTTACCATCTCCTCAGATAATGTAAATTAGGAATATTAGTTGTAAAGAAAAAAAAAAAAAAACAAAGCAAATGTAAAAAAAGGTAAAGAAAAAAAAAAATATTGTCAAATAAATCATTGATAAAAGGAAATATTTCTGAATTATTAATAGTGTTCTCTCTTTCATATTCCCAAGAAAATAATATATTTTCTATCCTTTTTTTTTTTTTTTACTAAGTTCCCACCATTAAGCACATTTAAACTTCGGCTGCAGCAGCTCCCTTCTTTGATTTCTTGGGTAAAAGATTTTGATGAATATTCGGCAGGACACCACCTTGAGCGATTGTAACATGACCAAGTAACTTGTTCAACTCTTCATCGTTACGAATGGCCAACTGAAGATGACGAGGAATGATTCTTGATTTTTTGTTATCACGAGCAGCATTTCCAGCGAGTTCCAGAATTTCCGCAGCCAAGTATTCAAGAACGGCGGCAAGGTAAACGGGAGCACCGGCACCAACTCTTTGAGCATAATTTCCTTTACGAAGTAGACGGTGAATACGACCAACAGGGAATTGAAGACCTGCTTTGGCTGAACGGGATGAACTAGCTTTAGAAACTGTAGCGGCAGATTTACCACCAGATTTACCACCAGCTGCACTAGACATGTTTGTTAATCAAATAATAAAAAAAGGTTTGTATTTTTCGTTTGGAGTGTTTTTTTTTTTTATAAAAAAGAAATACGGAGGTTTAAAAAAATTTTTTTTTATTTTTTTTTGAAAACGAAAAAAAAAGTAGTGGCTTTTTGTTAAAAAAATGTTATTAATAATTAATAATAATTAATTAAAAAAAAAAAAAATTTTTGTCAAAGAGGAAATTAGGGGTGTAAGGGCGCTGCAAAAAATGAGGTTAATTTATAGGAGATTTGTACGCCACGCTTTTGGTGAGTTTTTTTTTTTTGATGATGTAAACAAGTTTACCTCCTAATTCAAAAAAGTACGTGTCTTTCATGAACAAAACAAATTGGAACAATACTACGCCCGTTTAAGCCACCCTAACAAATCATTTCCTTTTCCTATTGTTTGTTGAACCTTTGAAAATTTACGCGTTGTCAAGCTGATCGCGTGATTCTCGAGTCTGCGGTTCTTATCTTAATACAAAGATTTCCCTGAACTCCTCAAAAATTACTATTTTTAAAAAAAAGGTAAACATCTCGAAAAAAAAAAAATTTATTTTTGTAAAACTCGTGTCATGATCGCGATGATCGCGTTTGAATTTATTTATTGTTTTGATTTTAAGCCCAAAAAAAAAAAAAAACTACAAACGCGAATTTTCGCGTTTAGGATCGATAATTTTTTTTAATATAAAGGGCCTTGATTCTCCCAACTTTGTTCTTTTGCAACTATCAATTTTTTGATTCATTAAAGACACTTTAAACATATTTTCCCAAACATTTATTTTTTTTCTTTTATTTACTCTTCCCCAAACTTACCCTTTCTTAACAAAAAACAAATAAAGTAAAACGAAATGGCACCAAAAGCCGAAAAGAAACCTGCAACCGCCGGAAAAGCACCAGCATCAAAAGCTCCTGCTGAAAAGAAAGACAGCAAGAAACCAGTTGCCACCGGTGATAAAACCAAAAAGAAACGAAAGGTCAGAAAAGAAACCTATTCAAGTTATATCTACAAAGTTCTCAAGCAAGTGC